CCCTCTGACAGATTGTTGTTTGTGTCTTCGGGGAAGGCTCAGATAACATCGCTAGAGTGACCTTTCGCCGGAGTGACCTTTGGTGCGGGCCCAATGGGGTCCCCCATTGCTGAGCACGAACTGGCAGCGGCGGCTTGCGCGCTTGGTGTTTGCCCCCTTGCGCCCCCCCCCTCAAGCGGCGCACCGAAGGTCACTCTCGCCTAGCGTCACTCTTCCGTGTAGCCGAAGGGGGGGGAGATACCGATCCAGACATGCTCCCGTCGTGCAGCGGAGTCCGGGACGGTCAAACAACGGCTCGTGGTGAGAAATTGGCCCTGGGGACAGCTCAAGGGCCGCAGTAGGGGGATAGGCTCAGAGGGGAGCACATCGACCCCCCATCGCCCACTCATCGCCGATAGGGGCCCGATGGCCTATCCCGCCCAGGATGCTGCGGGTTCGCTATCGGGGGCCCATCGCCGATCCATCGGCGACGTATTGCCGATTCCAAGTCAATGTTTCCCCCCGCCTGAGCTGGTCCCCCGCTCGAAAGGGTCGGGATTTCGGGGGGCCCCATACGGAAAAACAACGGGGCATCGCATGTCTGGGGGCATACCGTTGCTCGCACCAGGTGGCATCCGTCGTCACGGTTGGATTCTCTTCGAAATCCAAGATAGATATCCGACGATCTCGTTCCTTGGTAGCGTTTGTCAACGAGGAACGGAAGTTGCATGAACATAATTTGACTGAGATCCGCGCGGATCTTTTGGGTCGGCGCTTGGGCCCACCCTGGCGGCGCCTCTGGCGTTGCCCCGGTTGCGCTCTGCGCGCCAGGGTGGGAGCTCCAGGGCAGGTCCAAGAAATCTGCGTGGAACTTGTTTGCTTCTTCAGATTCGCAACCGGGATTTGACTTGTTATGTTTTATTTTATGTATCAGAGTGAGGGGGTCGAACGGTCATTCATTGTCCCTGGGTGCTTGGATAAATTGAGGCTGTTGCGTAGTTGTTGTTGCGTTGTTGTTGTTGTTGTTGTTGTTGTTGTTGTTGTTGTTGTTGTTGTCGTTGTTGCTGGTGCTGCTGTTGCTGGTGTTGTTGATGTTGTTGTTGTTGCTGCTGCTGTTGTTGTTGTTGTTGTTGTTGTTGTTGTTGTTGTTGTTTTGTTGTTGGTGGTGTTGTTGTTGTTGCTGCTGCTGCTGCTGCTGTTGCCTGTTGTTGGATGTTAATTACACAACAATTATTGAATCGCTTCGCTCATTCCGCCGGCCCGTGATATGGCATCGCTGGTTTTTGTCTGTGTGTTCGTTGCCCATGTTGCGCTCTTGGGGGCGGGTGTCGTTCGGACGCGTTGCGTGGGGAGTTTTGATGGTGAAGCAGTTCCCTGGGGGTCGTCTCTCGATGGGGCGAAATAGAGTCGTCGTCAAGATGCTTCTTTGGGGGGCCTCTTGGGGTCTGTTGAGAGGCCGTTCGGGGGCGCCTGGGAGACATGTTTGAAGCCTTCTGGGGCTTCTTTTGGGCCTCCTGGGAGTCTCCTGGGGCCTCTTGGCGACATCTTGGGGCCTCTTGGAGGCCTCTTGGGGCCTCTTTGGGACCTCCTGGGCGCCTTCTGGGACGGAGGGCTCCATTTTTGAGTTCTCGGTATCCCTCCTGAGTCCCTCTTGGGCCCGTCTTGGGGCCTCTTGGTCCGTCTTGGGCGGCACTTGGGCCGTCTTGAGGGCTCTCTTGGGTCGTTTCGGCGCCGTCTTGGGAGCTTCGTGGGCCGTCTTGGAGCGGTCTTGGGGGCCTCTTGGGCCGTCTTGGAGCGTCCGGAAGCCGAAAAAGCCAGAACACAAAAAACATAGAAAAAACAAATGAAAATCAACGATTTTGGCCTCTTGGGGCTCTCTTCGGAGGCCTCTTGGAAGGCTCTTGGGGCGTCTTGGAGGCCTCTTGGGCTGTCTTGGGGGCCTTTTGGGCCGTCTTGGGGTCATCTTCGGCGTCTTCGAGCGCTCTTTGGGCGTCTCGGGGGCCTCTTGGGCAGTCTTGGGGGCCTCTTGGGGCACTCTGAGCGCGCTCTGGGGAGCCTGAGAGGCCGCACCCAGAAGGAAAACCATCTCTGAGTAGACTTGGTCGGGCGGCGGTCGGGCGGCGGTCGGGCGGCGACCGGGCGTTGGTCGGGGTACTTTTCGCCGGGGGACCCCCAGGGGCCGCCCCGCGCGCGCGAACTAGAAATACTGTTAATACTGTTAACCAGTTACCGGAGCTCTTAGCACGCCCTGGCCCGTTGGGCCGGCGAATTATTGTTGGGCCCCTTCGATGCGCCCTGGCGCTCTCGCCCAGGCGCCGGCTACATTTTCATTGAAAATGAGGCTCACGCTCGAGCGGTTTGGGGGATCGCCAGCACCGGCCCCCCAACAACAACAGCGCTCCCGCTCGAGACCTCCTCCTTTTTTACTCAGGGCTGGTGTTCTTGCTCGCCGCCGAAAGCAGCCGTCCTCACAAAACCAGCGCTCCCGCTCGAGACGTCCTCCCGTTTTACCTTGAACTGGCGCGTTAGTCTTTCTCTCATCGGCGCCGCCCCCAGCAAAAACAACGCTCCCACTCGAAGCGTCCTCCCTTTTTTACTCAAGGCGGTGCTCCTCCTCGCCGCCGAACACCGCCGCCCCGACAAAACCAGTGCTCCCGCCCGAGACTTCCTTCCGTTTTACGCTGGGCTGGCGCCTTTGAATTGGTGCCGCTCCCAGCAAGAACAACGCTCCCGCTCGAGATGTCCTCCCTTTTTCCTGAAGATGGTGCTGTTCCTCGCCACCGACGACCCCCGTCCCGACAAAACGACGGCTCCCGCTCGATATTTTCTCCTTTCTTAGTCAAGGCGGTGTTCCTCCTCGCCGCCGAAAGTTTGCCGTCCCAACAATACCAGCGTTCCCGCTCGAGACATCGTTTTGTTTTGCGCTGGACTAGCGCGCCACTCTCTTCAGCATTGGCGCCGCTCCCAGCAACAACAGCAGCCCTGCTCGAGACTTCCTCCCTTTCTATTCAGGGCCAGGTCCTTGCTTCACCGCCGACAGCCCCGATCCCCAACAAGTCAATCCTGTCGTTCGATACTTCCTTGTGCTTTACCCTTCGCTGGGGTTCCAATGGCGGTCTCGCATCGGCGCAGCAAGGCGCTGGCATGTGTTCTCGAGGCGGGATATGTTGAAATTCCTCGGAGGAGGTGTTTGCAAGACCTCATGGTGCGGGAGATCTGGGAATGGGAATAACGGGCCCCGCTATGGCACACGAGTCCCCCATGATGTGGATGGTTATGATGATGGTCGCATGCTTCGTGTGGAATCATCGCGCATGATGGTGACATGACTGTTGTTGGTGTTGGTGTTGTTGGTGTTGGTGTTGTTGTTGTTGTTGTTGTTGTTGTTGTTGTTGTTGTTGTTGTTGTTGTTGAAGTTGGTGGTGGTGGAGGTGTTGTTGTTGATGATGTTGTTGTTGTGGTTGTTGTTGTGGTTGCTGTTGGTGTTGTTGTTTGTTGTCGTCGTCCCACCCGCGACCCACCCCCGACCCACTCGCGACCCACCCGCGACCTGGCCCCTGGCCCACCCGCGACACACCGTCGACCCACCTGCGACCCAACACGTGACCCACCCACATTGTTTTAACAAAAAATCGGCGCCTGCGGCGGGCTCGTTTACAGCTTGACAAATTCTGCGTCTGCGGCGGGTTTCTTCAGTGCCTCGCAGACTGCCGACGTACCCGCCGCCCCCTCATTCTTATCCCCAACTGCGGGGGGCGACGCATTTCACACATAAAACAACAAATCACACACGGGGGGCGGGGAGCCCTAGACCGCCCAGTCCAGCAGTCGTTTCGCCTGAGGCATCCTGGCAGTTGTGCCAGGAATCGTAGACTCGCTTCGGACGGCCACGATCCTTTGAAAAAGATAACTAGAGTGCACACGACAGGGTTCTCATCTTTGTACATGGCCTCTGCTGGTCAGGACACACTCTGGGATGATTTGGTCTGGGGAGTAGCTGCATCGGGCACTGCAACGCGGGCATGGCACACAAGGACTTGGCCTGATCTCGCGGCCACAGCTTTCTTTCGGGATACGCCCGAAGGCATGCGACGTCTTGGTTTGAGAGTGTTTTTGCTACCCTCTGGGTCATAACGCGCGCTATGCCCAATCCCCCCTCCCCCCCACCCCCCCATCACGTAACGCTCCCCCACCCCCCAGTGCGTCCCCGGCACTGCCGCAGTGCGTGGTATTACAGTTTGTGGTGCCCGACCCACGGTGCGGGGGGCTGGGCGTTACGTGATGACCCCTTCCCCATACCCCCTCCCGATAACGCTCGTTATCGCCGCGAACCAAAAAACGCATTTGCTTCAACACGGGATCCCCAGAAGTCCCAACTTTTTCCCCATGGCCCGGTGTTTTTGACGGTCCCGAGGCCCAGCGATGGCCCCCGGAGGAAGAAAATTGCCAACCAACCTTCCGTCGTGATGTGATGTTTGCCACGGTGCGAGCATGTCTGGGCCAGTATCCTGATTTGTTAGCGCCCCCGCCGGCCCTCAAGGCGGTGGCGGGGCCGCCTGCCGACGCGCGGCCAGTGGCCGTGGTTCGCGACCGCGGCTCAGGCTCGGAGGTTGCGAGAAGTGGTCCTGCCCAAGGTGCCCCCAGCTTCTCGTGCCGCTCTTGGCCCCCCTGGGGGCCGGGGGCCCTCTGGGCCTCGTGCAGAGGGCTCCGCAGGCCATCCATGCGGGGCTGCAGCAGGGCACTGCCGTGCGTGCAGCCCGGGGCCCCGACGGCCCACGCCTTGCCTTCGATGAGGTCCCCAGGCGAGTGCGCACAGTGCCCGTCCTCCGGGCTGTCCACCACCTCCTGCCTGCCTGGCATCTGCGCCTCGCTGCAGAGGCTGGGGCCGCCCTGGGCCCAGGAGGCTCACCTCGGGCGGCACCCGCTCCCGGCAGGCACGCCGCGGGGATGCGCCCGAGGAGTCGCGGGCCGACAGGTACCAGAAGCTGCTGCCGCGGGAGCACGTGCTGAAGCGCCCGGACATGTACATCGGGCCCGTGGAGCCGCGAGAGGAGGTGAGCAACGTCACAAATCAGAGCCCACTTCGCCAGCACGTCGGCGTAGGCCGCCCGGGTAGGGCGGCGCATGCGCGGCCGCTCTCTCCACGCGATGTGCCGTCAGGGGCCGCCGTGAGTTGCCGCGTAAGGTCGCTATGCCGTGTCGCGTAAGACCACTTGTTTTGTTGACGCTCAGGTGTCCTGGGTGCTGGCGGGGAGCGACGACGATTGGCGGCTGAAGGAGGAGATGCTGCGCATCTCCCCAGGCTTTGTGCAGATCTTCAACGAGATACTCGTGAATGCTGCCGACAGGCAGTTCAGCAGCACAGACGGGGAGGGAATGACAGCAATCCGTGTGGATGTCGACTCGAAGGAGGGGGAAATCGTTGTTTTCTGCGATGGAGGTCCGATTCCGATTGTGCAGAAGGAGTCTGGCATGTGGGTGCCCACACTGGTATTCAGCGAGTTCATGAGCGGAGACAATTTTGACGACTCCAAGCAGCGCTTCATCGGCGGTCGCAACGGCATCGGTGCCAAGGCGACGAACGCGTTCAGCAGCTTATTCGAGGTCGAGGTGTTCGACCCCAGCACGGGCTACCACTTCAAGCAGCGGTGGGAGCAAAACATGGCGGTCGAGCACGAGCCCCAGATCCTCTCGCTGCAGCCAGACGCGCCTCAGAACGGTGCGGTGCAGGTGAGGTTCCGCCCTGACCTCAAGAGGTTCTCGAGCAAGAGAAGACTCCATGTACATAATTACATGAACAGAAACTTGAAGACCGGCGCGGATTTGTCGGATCTGCGCTGGACCACCTGGGCGGCGCCTCTGGCGCCGCCACTGGCGCGCTCTGCGGGCCAGAGAGGGGGGTCCAGCCCCGATCTAAGGATTCTGCGCGGTCATTGGAAATTTGTGCGGGACTCTCCTCCAGAACCGCTGGGTCCCAGAGATCCGCGACGTTTCCCGGTGTGATGTTGTCCTGGTCTTGGTTTCGTCTTACGTCGTGCATGCTTTACTATGTTCCAGGTTCGGGCTCCGCAGCATCAACCAGAACCACATGCGGCTGATAAGGTTTGGCGGCGCCAACAACGGGGGTGACACGAGGGGGGTAGTCTTCCAAGAAGGCGGACTGGCTTCTTGGAAAGCGGGGGCCTTCTCAGAACTCCCCAGAGACTCCTGGGGAAGTTTGTCAGAAGCCCCCAGGCCGCCCCCCGGCCCTCCCAGAAGCCCCGCCGCCTTCTTAGACATCCAACCCCCTCGCGCCACCCTTTTCTCGGGCCGGACGAAAGGGGGGGATTGGGAAAGGGGGGGGGTACGAAATTTGCTGCATGCAGCTGGTTTCGGCCTCACTGGGGGGCCCATTCCTCGATACAAAGCCGCCTCTGGCGCCGGGAGGCGCCAGGAAAATCAGCTACGTGAGCTGATTCTCAAACCCCCTCTTTGCTATCCCCCCCTTTCGCCCGACCCGACCTTCGCGGGCGAAACAAATGATGATTCGTGTCCGCGCCTCGCAGGCCGGGCACCTGGGCTGCAACCCGGCGCACAGGGGGCGTTTCTTTGTGCGCGGACGCCCCGCGCGAAAAGCGTATCCGTGCGGCCGCGTATCCGCGGGACTCGCCGCGGAGTCCAGACTGCGAGTGCGTGGAGATGGATGCGTTCGCCGCCCGTGGGGAAACCAACAGCTGCCGATGCCGTTGCGCCCTGGACCTCTCCTGGGGCGCGTTGTGACCAGAACTCGTCACGCTTTGCGTATCCCCACCGGTATTCAGAAGCCCTGCCCATGAGAGCTGATTGGAAAAGGGACGAAGAGGCAACCAGGGTGAACAAAGGGATCTCTGGAGCAAGGGGGTGGTCTTGGAGGGCCTCTTCGGGCCATCCCTTGGGCCCGCGTGGGGCCAGTGGAAGGAGGAGGAGGAGGAGGAGGAGGAGGCGGACGACGACGACAACCACGATGACGAGGAAGAGGAGGAAAAGGAGAAAAGAAGACGATGAATGGGACGAGGACGAGAAGCAGGAGGAGGAGTAGGACAGAGGACAGAGGCCTCAAATCCGCCAATTGGAAGCATCTTGGGGCTCTTTTGGAGGGTCTTGGGGCCCTCTTGGGGCTCCCTTGGGGGCTTCTTGGGAGCCCTGGGGGGCCTCTTGGCGCTATCGTGGAGGGCGTCGGTGAAAAGAGATGGGTCGTAACGTTGTGTCCCCCCTTCTGGGGCTCTCGAATTCGCCCTCTTGGGGCTGGCGCTCTTGAAGCTGTCTGGGGACCTCTAGGGCCCATCTTGGGGCCCTCGGCCATCTTGGGGCCATACTCAGTCTTCAAAAGCACATCAGAAACGAATAGGCGAGAAGGCCAACATCATGGATTGTCCTTGGGTATTTGTGCCTTGTTTGCCTATTGGGGGTCCTGAGGGGGCTCCGAGAGCACTTGGAACCGTCTTGTGGCCCTCGTCGGGCCTCTTGGAGGTATTTGGAAGCTATTGGCAACAATACTCGACTATCTTGAGCCGCCTTTGAGGCCATCTTGGAGCATAGGATGCTTTGTTGCAGCAATCTTGGGCGCAAAAGGACCCCTCTGCCGCCGACAGAAAACCTCAGGGAGAGGGAGGGGGAGGGTCCCCTCCCTTGAGGCGAATCCAGCCGTGGCGACGAGGGCCTCCCAGGATGCTTCAGGAAAGGGAAAACGAGGGAGAAGGGTAGCGGTATGAGTCGGTACCTTTTCCTCTGAGCTCGTGACCCCTCGCGGGCGCCGCCAACCAGGTCCCGCGTGTTCGACGTGGCGGCGTGCGTCCGGCCCAGCATCGGCGTGTGGTTCAACGGGGAGCGGGTCGCTGCGCGGGGCTTCCGAGACTACGCCGTCCACGTGCTCGGGGAGGACGTGGCGGTGACCACGATCGAGGACGAGTCGGGGAGGCTCGGAGAGGAGGATGCGGCACAAACCCGAGCAATTCCATGGGATCCTGGCGCCGCTGTTCCTTCCTGCCTGGGCCTTTTCGCCTCGCTCCGGGCCCCAGGACCAGCACGGAGGGATCCCGTTCCAGAAAGTGGCGGGGAAAGACGGAGGAATGCCGTCGAAAGTTCCGCTCGTCATTTTCTGGGAGATGGGAGATGCTCCGACGTGAGTCTGGCGTAAACCCGATGCGAGTCCGACATAAGTCCGACACAATCCCTCGTGAGCCCCACGTAAAACCGGCGTGGAAGTCGACGTAGAGTGGGTCTCAAGTTGGCGCGCGAGGCCTCCAGGAGTTTCCTCACAGCGGTGTGCGAGACGCTCATTCCGAGCGTGCCAGCTGGGTTCTGCCGCGAGCCTCGGCGCCAGCGCTGTTGCAGAGGAGCTCCCCACGACTGGGCCTGCTCGCTGCTGGCGCGCGTCGTGCTCCCCACGATCGAAGCGGGAAGCCTGTTCGGATCGTGCCAGCTCGTTTCCGTTGCACTGGGTGGCACAGACACGTTGGCAACATAGATCAATCAAGTCCACCGCTTACAAGGGGTACTGTCCAGGCTGGATGGGGTTACGCACCGCATTGTAGAGGCCTTACGGGCCATTGCCGCCGACCGTGGACGATGACCCTCATGATGGCGGAGTGGAGAGCTCCCCCCATGAAGGTCTTCCAGGATTCCTCCGGGAGACTCGAGTTCTCCAATATTCGGGTTTGCCGGCGCTTTTTGATAGGGGCCCGTCCCGAATTTTGGGCGGTCCAGTGTTCGTGGGAGATTTGCAGCGGGAGTTCGCACCAAATTTGAAACCGGGTCTCGTCAGTTTCTTGATGGGTCCTGGTGCGCGTCGTTTTCCCCACGATCGACGTTGGAAGTCCATCCGGATCGTGCCGCCTCGTTTCCGTTGCTTTTAGCGCTTCGGGGAACAAGCATTTATCATAAACAAACATTTTCTGAGGTCTGTGCCGATCCAAGAAATCCACCCGGACCTTCGAACGTTTATGTTTACGAAGCATGTTGTTCCTCTCGCGTTGGCAGCAATGTCGGCAGGAGGTTTAGAGCGTGCCGGCGTCGCTTCCGAGGCACATCGTGTTGCCGGCGTTCTCTTCGGGAAGTTAATTCGAATCGCGCCGGCTCCTTTCGCGCACATCTCGCCTTGCAGCGACCTTGGTTGGCAGTAGATGAGGTGGATGCGGAGTTCGAAGGAGGCGCAAGGATCATGAGGAGGCGGATCAGAAACGTGCCGGTTCGAGGGGGTTATGCCGAGTCGACGTTCCCAGGAGCCGCGCGAGGGGCGCCACGTCAGTGCCTTAAGGAGTCCATGTGGCACCGGGTGCGTGAGGGCTGGGCCGCGCTGGGCCTTCCAGGGGGCCTTCAGGAGCCAGCCCTGGGAGCTCGGGCCCACGGCGTGGTGGCATGCCTAGGGGCGCTCTCCCAGTCGAGCCCGAGCGGCTCCCAGTCGGGCGCCGAGTAGTATACGGGGGGTGAGGAAGGGTGCACTGTCTGTGCCCTAACAGGGCCCCACAGCGCCCCCCCTGGGGCCCAAGAGGGCACGCAAGGTGCACGCTTCTCCCTCCCCCCCCATGTGTCGCCCCGCCATTAATGAACGCCCGACCCATGCCCCACGGCTCTCCCCCTCTCCCCCCCTACCCCCACCCGAGGGAAAGGGAACCGGCCTGAGGAGGAAACAGCAATGCTCATTCTGAGTTTGTGGGGGGGAGGGGGGGTGGGAGACCATGCCCCTCCGATGGGGCAGCACAAAAGCACGAGGGGGGGAACAAACCATGTAATTTGTGCTTCTTCCTCTGGAGGCCCCGTGCGGAGATCGCGGCAGCGTTTGCTGGAGACAACGGCTTCGCGGCGATCGGCATGGTGAACGCCATCCGCTGCAGCAGTGGCACCCACGTGGAGCGCGTTAGCAGGCAGCTCGGTGAGGGCATCGCAGCGCTGGCGCCGAGGAAGCGGAGGGTCCAGCCCAAGGAAGTGCAGCGCTTTCTCAGGCCGTCGGGGGCGTCCAAGAGGAGACTTGGCATCTTTCGGACGTGTGCATCTTTTTGTTCAACGAGGCCAGCGCCAGAACATCTGCATCATTGTTGAGCATCTGGGACCATCCCGAGGGAAAAACAAACAACACGCACGAGACCAAACAGGGAACGGAGAATGGTCGTCCGAGCGATGGCCAGGGAGAGGTGGGGACGTCTTGTGGTCGTCGACGGGGGAGGGAGAAGAAGGGTCTCGTTGGTCTTTGGAGGTCTTCTCGCTTGGAGTTTTTCTGGCCTCGGGGTCTTTCGGGCCTCGGGCTCCGAGGCCCTCGAGCTTTTCGAGGCGTTCGGGCCTCTCTGCTGGCCCTCGGCGGCTCGCGAGCCTCCGAGTGCCCTCCTGCGGCCGCGCCCGGCCGAGAGCTCTCGCCCGCAGTGCCCGCATCGTCCCGGACGCCGGCCCGGGGCCCGCACACTGCTCGGGAGGCCTGAGCACGGGGGCCCAATGCCAACGGCCGCGGGTCGGCCGGAGCGCCCGATCTCGCAGGATCCCGCAGGGCCAGGGCCGCATTGGACCTTGCTTGGGTGCAGGAGTTTGCGGGGTCCTGAAGGATCCTGCGCACTGGCCCAGGCCTGGGTGCAGGATTCTGCAGGACTCTGCAGGGCCTGACGGGCCCGGGCCTGGGTTGACCCGGGTCAGAAGATCCCCGGATTACGTCCCGAAAAATCATTGGGCGTCGAAGGGGGGGAAAACCTCAGGGGCGGCCGAACCGACCCTTATCGTACCATCTCCTTCCGTGAAGTCCTCATTGCCTCGCCCCAATACGTTTGTGTGCTGCCGGAGGGAAGCTTGAAAAGCGAGGGTGACTTCACGGAAGGGGATGGTTTGCTAGGGGTCGGTTAGGCCGCGCCCGAAGACAAGAGGCATGTGAAGATCATGGCCAGAGCCATGCAATCTCCCCGATGTCATGGCCCCCTTGCGTTTGCGCACTTCTGCCAGACACGTACGTAAGCGCGGCTTCTCTGTTCCCCTCCTCCCCCCCTTTGTCCCCCTCCTCCCGCCCTGCTTCCCCCTCCCTCCACAGCGTGGCGCCGTGAGGGCGCGATGGCGCCCCGTTCTCTCCGCCGATGCGCCGCGCGAGCGCCGGGCCCCCCGCCCCCCGCGTCCGCGAACGTGCCTCGGGCCAGGGTGCGCTGGTCCACCAAACCACCCCAACGCAACCCGAAGGCTCAGATTTACCCTCGATTTCCAGTGGGGGGGGGATCGGGAAACATCGAAAAAACACATTTGGAACGCTTACCCCCCCCAACCCGAAATTCGGGTCTTCGGGTTGGGTTGGGGTGGTCTGGTAGGTAGTCAAGGGTGCGCTGGTCCACCCCGCGCGCTCCGCGGCCCCCCTCTTCGGCGCACCACCGGCAGGCTGGTGGTGAAGGTATTGGTGGACAGTCCTGACTTCGACTCGCAGACGAAGACCGAAGAAGAAAAGAAAAGACAAAAACACAGCATTTTGGCGCTCCGCGCGGATTTCTTGGATCCGCGCCTGGGCCCCCCAGCGGCGCTTCCGGCGCCGCCCCTGGCGCGCTCCGCGCGCCAGGGAAGGGGGTCCAGCGCGAATCCAAGGAATCCGCGCGGAGCGCCAAAAGTTTGTGTTTGTGTGGCTTTTTCTTCTTCTAGAAGACGCGCCTCACCACCACGGCTGCGAACCTGGGTTTCGAGCTCAGGCTGCCGCGCGATTTCATTGACAAGGTGGCCGGCCTCGGAGTGCTGGAGGCGGCACTTGGCGCCGTCCAGCTCAAGGAGGGCCTGGACCACCTGAAGCAGCTGTCGAGCGGCGTCAAGCAGTCTCACGCGAAGCTGGACGACGCACGGAATGCGGGCCGATATGGCAACAATTGCACTCTCATCGTCACCGAGGGTGACTCCGCGAAGGCCCTCGCCGTCGCGGGGCTCTCGAAGTGGGGCCGCGACAACTATGGCATCTTCCCCATCAGGGGCAAGCTGCTGAACGTGAGGACGGCCACGAGCAAGCAGCTGCAGAGCAACGAGGAAATCAAGAGTCTGGCGCAGATCATCGGGCTGGAGTGGGGGCGAGAGTACCAAAGCAACGAGGAGCTGAGGCAATCCTTGAGGTACCAGCACGTCATGATATTCTCAGACCAGGATCTCGACGGCGACCACATAGCAGGCCTGCTCATCAACTTCGTGCAGTCGTCCTGGCCGTCCGTGCTCCAAATCCGGCCCGACTTCTTCCAGCGCTTCGCCACGCCGATCCTCAAGGTCTTCAAGAAGGCAGCCAAGGCCGGCGCGCAGGAGCACGCCGCGTTCCTCTCCGAGGCTCCGCATCGTCTGACGGGCACCCCGTCCCGCTCTGGGCCATGGCATCTCGGCCCCACCAGCCCACCTCCCTGGGTGGGGACAGGCCCGGCGAAGCCCAAATGGAGCAGCACGGTGCGAGTCAGCGAACATGTCAGAAATGCCAGCGGGGCCGGGGGTCGCAGAGTTCCACCTGGCAAGGGGACGATAAAAACGATCGTCACGGGTGGTCGTCGTCGTCGTCGCCGCTGATGCCACTAGGCCGCAGCCAGCGACCTGGACGAGACATCGTAATTTTTGGTTGAATCGTCGTTGGCCGATGTGTTGTTCTTCGTCGCTTGGTCCCATCAGCTTCCTCACCGAGGTAAGTCGGCCAGTGGGGCCCAGGCCATTCCAGTGGGGATGGGGATCGGTTCCACGATGCCCAGAGGGCGAGTTCGCCAGGTGGCAGCAGGAGCACCCCGACTGGCGCGGGTCTTTCCGCGCGAAGTACTACAAGGGGCTCGGCACGTCCACGAGGGAGGAGGCCATCGGGTATTTCTCCGACCCCGAGAAGCACTCGATCTCTTTCCGCAGGGAGGGCGAGGAGGACGACCGCTCGGTGGAGCTCGCGTTCGGCGCCGACGAGTCAGACGCCCGCAAGCAGTGGATCGCAGACGGCCTGCACGCAGGGGAGCTGGACTACAACAAGGACTCCGCGTCGCTCAGCCAGTTCATCAACCTGTCGCTGGTGAAGTTCAGCGCCTACAGCTGCGAGCGCGCGATCCCGTCGCTGATGGACGGTCTGAAGCCCTCGCAGCGCAAGGTGGTTCACGTGGCGCGGAAGATGAGCGTTGAAGAAGATGTAGTGGCACCAGTAAACATACATTTTCGGAGCTCCGCGCAGATTTCGTGGAGCGGCGCTGGACCCTATACCCTGGCGCGCAGAGCGCGCCAGGGGCGGCGCCAGAGGCGCCGCCAGGGAGGAGCTCAAGCGCAGATCCAAGAACTCCGCGAGGAGTTCCGAAGGTTCATGTGTGTGTGCCGTTCCTTCTTCCTCCATGAGCGGGGAGATGCGCGTGTCGCAGCTGGTCGTGATGGGCCTGTTTTCCACCACCACCACCATAAGTTGGAGGGGGAGGGGGTCCTGCTCCTCCTCCTCCTCCTCCTCCTCCTCCTCCTCCTCCTCCTCTTCGTCCTCCTCCTCCTCTTCGACCTCCTCCTCCTCTTTTTCCCCTCCAACTTATGGTGGTGGTGGTGGAAAACAAGCACATCAGGTCGGGAAGGTCATCGAGCAGACGGCATACCACCACGGCGAGGCGTCCCTCGAGAAGGCCGTCGTGCACCTCGCGCAGGACTTCGTCTTCACGAACAACGTCAACCTCCTGGAGCCAATCGGCATTCGGGCCGGACGAAAGCGGGGGATTGGGAAGGGGGGGGCTACGAAATCTGCTGCATGGCAGCTGGTTTCGGCCCCGCCGCCGGGCCCATTCCTCGGTACATGGGCGCCTCCTGGCGCCGGGGGGCGCTGGGAAAATCAGCTACGTGAGCCGATTCTCTCCCCTGCCCTTTGCTATCCCTCCCTTTTGTTCCCTCCGAGGCATGTTCGGCGCCCGCCTGGCTGGGCGCGACGCGCACGCGAGCGCGCGCTACATCCACACGCGCGCCTCGCCACTGGCCCCGTTCGTGTTCCGGAGGGAGGACGATTCGAGGGAGGGAGAGTTGCATATAGACAGGATCGGAGGTTGATAGACCTCCTACCCTGACACGTCGATTAGCGAATTGGCCGTGCCCGGTTCGCGAGAGGACGTCGCGGCCGTCATTTTCGCGGGTCCAGGTCCGTCGGTTTTTGTCCCAGGCCGTTTTCACTAAAGGGTGGTTTTCTAGAAGGAGGTTTGGCCACCGCCGAATACAATGTTTCGGAGCTCCACGCGGATTCCTTGGCTCCGAGCGACGCCTTCGGTGCTGGCCCTGGCGCGCTCCGCGCGCCAGGGAGTGGAGTCCAGCGCCGCTCCAAGAAGTCCGCGAGGGCCTTGGAACGTCAACGTAGCCCTGCAGCTTTCTGTCCCTCCAACGATGACATCCTGACGCCGCGGCTGGTCGACGGGAAGGACCAGCTTTCGGGGGGGGGGGAGGGCACAGGCAGTGGGGAAGCGTCCCGGCCTGTCTGCAGCTAGGCCCTAGGCCCACCCAGAAATCCTAAGACCCCCTCGTGGCTTGCACGAAGTGTTCTTAGGACACTTCTGGCTGAGACAGTCTTGTTTGCACACGTGTGCTCTACATTCTGAGAATATTGTTGGCGTTTGTGGGAGCATCCTTCTGCTCCAGGAGCAGTCCGTGGTATGCCTGTAGGAGTGCCAGTACGGCCGGTCCCTGCCAAAAGGGCCCTCCGCCGCCCTGGGGGCCTTCGTGGGGGAGGCCCGCCTCGGGGACTTGGGAGCGCGAGGAGAAGTCGATCCGCCCGGCGAGGGCACAAACAAGTGGCCCGCACCCAGGGGTGCCCGGTGTTCGAAGGGGCGGGTGAGCGGGGAGCGGCCAGGGCGAGGAGGCATCCGTTCCAGAGCGTTCTGGAGCGATCGCAGGGCGCTCGGGAACGCCAGGAGAAGGCCGCGGTGCCCGACACGTCCTCCAGAGCCGCCGGATCTCGGAGATTCTCGATGTATCATCACCCGAATTTGCCCTCGTCCTGGCTTCGTCTTAGGTCGCCCAATCCAGAGATCCGAGGCTCCGATACAATTGGAGCGGCTGGTTTTGGACCGTTGTCTGCCCAAGGTGGCCCCAATGGGCTTGGGACGTAGAGAAAACGACTCAGGACGAAAAGCCGGGCACAGGGGAGTTGTTCAGACGTCCAGGGGCCCTCGCATCGGAAAGGGTACGTCTGGGTACGTAGAGGGTGGGTTAGCCGAAGGTCGGGTGACGGGGAGAACTATGCGTGCGGCTGATGTTCCCTTCTCCAGGGGTCGTGCAGATCAAGAAGGGAAAAAACATAGACACCAATGATTTTCGATTGCCTTGGAAGTATACGAAAAGATGAGAAGTCGAGGGGAGGAAGAAATTCCTCAGAACAAAAATGGAAGATATCAGGGATCCTGGAATGTGTGTTTATTTATTTGTGCGTCCCTGGGCCCCTTCAACCCCTCCCCCCCGAAGCATGGACCCAGGGAGGGGCCCGGGAGCGATTCTGAGCTGGTTGTCGTCGGGAGAGGAGGTTCGCGACCGTTTGCGAGCACCTGCCCCGCAAGGTCCACTCGCCGCCGGGGTATCGGTCACCCTCTCTGGGGTTCCCGTGGTTGCAAACATGATGCTTCGCGCTCTAGACCAGGCTCAGAGCTCCGGATCATTAGGGCTGGGGATGGTCAGGGGTAGCTACACATCCGCTCCTCGGGGGTCCAAACTGGAATTGCTCCAGACCGCGGTTCTCCCGGATACCCGTGTAACCCAGGGAAGCAATTAAGGACCCCCCTTTGTGGCGAAACGACGGCGCACTAAGCACCCTTAAGCGTTTTCCTGGCACCCTGGCGTCTGGGCGTCTGGACAGGGAGGAGGAAGACAGGCTGGAGGAGGAAGACGACGAGGAGGAGGATTTGGAATCCACTGCCCCTCTGTTATGAGGCCGTTGTATAGGAGAGGGAACAGAGGACAGAGTGTTTACACAGTTTTGAGGAATTAGTGAATTCAGTATGGGTCCGGCTTGAAAAGCCTCGAAGAAAGCGCGCGCACCCGAATCGCAGACATATGGCTATATGCGGACCCAGGACACTTTGCTTCCCGTCAACGTCCTCGCCATTGCTCCGTTCCCCTTCCCTTCCTCCCTCCCCTGGATGGTGTCGAAAACGTCCGCGGCTCGGGCGGGGGAGCGCCCCTTCCCACCTCCCTCATTATTCCTCGTTCCTCTTTGCCTCCCTGCTCCACCATCCGTCGTCCTACCTCGCCCACCCTCCTTGTTCGAAAAGTGAAATCCCTGGCGCCGCGTGCCCGCGTCAGCGGTAAATTCTTTTTCGATATCCGAGCACAGCGGCGCAACCAAACAGAGGGGATTGCCAATGCGAGAGTTCGGGGCGCACCCAAAATGCGGGCGGCACGGCCGCCGAGCACAGTCGCATCGCTAACATGTAAATTATAGGTGCCTGCGGCAAGGTCCGTCCCCTTGCCAGAGCAGTGATCTATATGGCAACGCGTGGAGCTTTGACTGTTAAGAGGTCCTTGACATGTCGTGTTTTCGGACTGCTGCGCGGCATTCTTTGGGGTCCTTCGAGGCTTCTTGGGACGTCTTCGGGCCGTTGGGGGCCGCTTTGGCGCCGCGTTGCACCGCGGCCGCCCTGGGCCAGGGAAGCGTGTATTTGCGGCTCTCTCGGGGGCGCCCTGGGCCGGGGAAGTGTGTATTCGCATTCCCCCCCAGCTGGGCATGTCGACTTCGGTTTTGGGTTGGCAGAGCCGGGGCGCCCTCGAGATAGCGAGCGTTCACCTCTTCGAAATAAACAGATCAAGGTGTGATCTGTCTACACAGTTTGTGTCTTCAACTGTGTATTTTCGTGTGTGGGCCCGCTGTTTTCACAGATCGTGGTGTGATCTGTGTACACAGATCTCGTTCCCATATGTGTATTTGGAGTGTGCCCCTCGTGGGTGGTGTTGAATGGGCGGGAACTTTCGCGTTTCTCTTCCGGCTGGTCCAGGGGCGGCGTCGTGCGCGGTCGAAATACACAGTTCGTGTCTCCAACGGTGCATTTGTTACGCGCCTCTCGCTGGAGTGGTCACTGGGCGGGAGTTTCCGCGGGTCTCCCGGCTGGTCCAGGAGGGGGCCGTGGTCTGGGCATGCAAAGGCGCGGGGGGGTGGGGATGGTGGGCTGTGGGAAGGAAGGGGTTCGATAGGAGGGGTGGCCGAGGGGCCAAGGATGAACGGGACTGGACGAGAGCGGAGGAAGAGAGCCCAGGAGGATCTGCATCATCGGCGTCAGCATCACGAGGGCGAAGGCGGTGGGGGGGGGGCAGAAATTGGGGGCATGATGCGCACTAGGGCGTAGAGGATGGGAGGAGGGCAGGCATGTGGACGATGGGGGAACGAATCCGGCGCAGGAGGACGACGAGGAACGACGTGAATTGACACATGGGGGCGGCTAGTGTGGATGAAGGGCATGATGAGGACCGGGGCAATCGGAGGGGCATGCGGAGGGTGGGGCCGCAGCGAAAGGATATTTGGAAGAGGCGGGGGATGGGGCATGAGTTCGAGGCGGGCGCCAGGTAGCGATTAGCTGAACAGTGTTTTGCGTGTCCGCGCACCCCCAGAGCACAG